CCCCAAAACCCCAAAACCCCAAAACCCCTTATTTATGAGAAGAATTGTAATAATTATTAAAATATAAACTAACAAGGTAAATATGAATTTTCTCTCAAGCCTTCCTAGCATGAACAACTTATTCACGTTCTTGCATGCCTCTAGCCGTAGAGATACTGAGTTCGCCCACCTCGAAAGCAGGATCCCCAAGAGTAAGAGCCCTACTGACTTCTAGACAGCATGGATCACCTCAATCAGCCTTCCATGACCTTTATCAAGAAGGTAAGGACTTCCATATTTTGAAGAGTTTGCTGGATATCAAGTGTCTATTTATTAATAAAAATTACTAATTCTCTTTAAAAAATTACCTGTGGAGAATCTTTTGGCATATTATTAAGCAATTTCATTCGAAGAGAGAACTAATCAGGTGACGACTTCAAGATGAAACTTTCAGACCTAGCTACATTTTTTATAGTTTAATCGACTATATGTGAAAGAGAAGTCTTATATCCACTTATGTTTAGATAATTACAGATCCACAAGTGAGACTTCAAATTCGGTTTATTTTATCTCGAGATAGTAAATTATGGACAAATAAATATCACATATTATGCTTAAACCTCATTTTATTGCTTACATCACTAAAGACATTTGACTTTACATGGAGCAAAGAACGCTTCATAAATGCTTAGGGTGCAATTTATCATAAAAACTCAGTTTTACTTGATAGCAGTCTTTATTAAAAATATATTATTTCAAACTTTATAAATACTTGAAATTATTGTTTTTCCCCATTTTGATCCATTTTTTAATTCAAGAAACCAATTGTCTCTATACTGGAAAATTAGGTGAGTCTCTCTGAGTTAGTTAGACTTCGTCTCAAGAATCTTAATTTTTACAAACTCTGGGATCTGACTAAACGTGGCTATTATTAGATCAGATTTTAGGCAGAAAATTATTAATAATTCTAAATAGTGCAAAAACCTACCTGGTTGCAAGTGGTAGAGCATTTGAGTGCTTCTTTTGTTGATTATTGCCTACCCTCTTAGTCAATTTTTGATACATAGGCAAAATCTGATCATATACTCAGAATAATAGCTTATTGTGGTGACACAGAAAGTTTCAACTTTATGCAAATTTGGGATGACTTAGATTACTTAAAACAAATCTAGAGATTTTCAGTAAGATTCTGCAATGCATCTGAAATTGAAGTCCTTTAACCTATTTAATAATTTTGTAGAGTTTTAGAGAATCATCATCAATATTGTTGTTTGGCTCTCAATTTTATAACATAAGCTAACCTTCTTGTATAGTCATGTGAGATTTTACTCCAAAATGTGTTTTGAGTCACAGTCTTCATGGTAAGATTTAGTTCAAATTATAGTTTCTCATTGAAGATATTGACATGAAGTTGCTCTCTCAACTTGCTTGCTGAATCTGAGTGGCTATAGGATTCTATTATGCAAAATAAACAGATCTCCATCTCAACTGAGCACCTACAAATATCGATACTGGTATTCAATGGATTGGCATATTTGATGTCTCATTTAGTGTTTCATGTAGAGCACAAAGGCACTATCAGTGTGGCTTTTCAATGCATATATGTGTACCACTTTTACCTTGCCACTCTGACTCCATCTAAATGTCATGCAACAAGTGTGATCTATACTTCAACAGCTCTTATGCACTTGGTCATTGCAATGTACAGATTCAGAGAAGTTGATGTGAAACACATTGCTTCAACAATATTTTCTGTGCGAATCTTTGTGCTTGGACTTCAGACCAACCAAACAAGGCTCTCTCAAATGTACAATATGATACTTGAAAATGAGAGACTGGCTACAGAAAAACAGAAAGTTGTCCAACAGTTCCCTCACCCGGTGTTGATTATTCCCCAGAAAATATCTGGAGATTGCAGATGCTATTCTAATGACCAGTTTGAAAGCAAAATTCAGGCTCTTGATCAAGAGATTCACAGGCTGGATCAGATCCAAGTTGTTGTTAAAAAGAATGATGGCATTCAGAGCAACTACCAAGAAATAAGAACACTTCTTGAATATTTGGGAGAGCCTGGCCAGAAGAAGATGAGACATTCTGAAGGGCTCAAGAAGAATGCAATCATCCAGTGTAAACCATTTTGATATCAGTAAGTATAGGGTTAGAATCTGAATGACTACTTTGTTTTGTAATTATGGCTATGAACAGTACAAAGTCATCAATTTCTATAGAGATTTACCAAAGCACAAAGATGTTTCCAATAGTCAAGACAAAACTAACAGAGAAGTCAGCAGAAATTTCAATATCAAGTCTCTGGACATCGAGTGGAAGGGTGTTCCCTCTGTAATGCATGTCTTCATTGACACTACTGACATCATCAATCTCGAGAAAGCCAGGAATAGAATCAAGATGCAGAAGATAATGTTTGCAAGTGCGAGTCACGAGTTCAGGACTCCACTTAATGCAATTATCAACTCTTTTGAGATCATCAAGTCGAGTCTTCAGGAATTCCTCAGAACAGTAATGGAGGATGCAAGCAAGAATGTGATTCAAAGTTGTCAGGCGAGAGAGCATATAGATCTGATCTGGAAGTTCATCAGGACTGGTTCTACTTCGTCAGTGTTGTTGATGGCTCTGGTTGAGGACATTCTGAACCTGTCCAGAATTGACAACAGAACTTTCACCACAAAGTTCGAGTTCTTCAAAGTGCCAGAGTTGCTTCAAGAAGTGCATTCTTTGTTCACAATACAGTGTGAGAACAAGGGAGTTGACTTGCTCATAGAATGAGATGAAACCTTGCACAGTTGTGAAATCAGAACTGACTGCAACAGAATCAGACAAGTCTTGTTGAACTTGGTCTCAAATTCATCCAAGTTCACCTTTGAAGGATTCATTAAAATCAAAGTTTGAATGGTGAAGTCTCTGGATGGCTCTGATTACTTGGAATTCAGAGTGCAAGACACTGGAACAGGTATCAAAGAGCAAGACCAAGAGTGTCTTTTCAAGCTGTTTGGTGTCCTTGAAGATAATGAAGATCTGAACCCAAATGGTTGTGGCTTGGGGTTAACAATCAGCAAGAAATATGTAGAGCTACTTGGAGGAGATATTAGGTGACAATCAGTATATGGAGAAGGAACTGAGATGATATTCAGAGTTCTGGTTCATGATTTTAGAATGATCTCCTGTAATATCAATCTATCTGGAAACAATAGTGAAGAATCTAATTTGAGTTGTGTAGAGAATATATCGGATTCGGATATCCAAATCAGTGAAGAGTACAGTTCCTGAATGAAGTCGGTAAACAAGCTTCCAATAAGCCAATTCAATAATTCTAAGTTTTGAAGACTATATTTATTTGTCTTGATCCTTTCTGCTTTAGTCTAAATTTAATTAAGATTGCATTTCCAGTCAATAATGGACTTGAGGTGTTTCTTAATATCTTCTCATAAATATTTTTCTTTTCAGATAAAATTTTATATCCTTGCTAGAATTGATCGAATTTCATAAAGTCTAAGATTTCATTCCAATCAGACTGTGTGAGATTTTCACTAGAGTTCTCAAGATTCATTCTAGGCTTCTTCTTAGTGCCTCTAAAACTTTGTTTGTACCTTGTCAAGCTCATTTATTTTGCGCACTAAAGATTTAGAGAATGTCTGAAGTACGACTAGGCCTAAAATAATGTTCCTTGATATAAAATCATATTTATCAATCTTACCACCTGAAAGTGGGGTTTTGGGGTTTTGGGGTTTTGGGG